GCATCAGTCTTACCACCTGGAAGGCCCTGTGCTCCTCCAGGGATGGTTACTGGGCGGCAACATTGTGTTTTTGGAGCTTTGTGGTGCAGCATTTGGGAAAGTTTGTTTATGGCAAATTACCATCTGCTCACAGATTGTTTAAAAAATAGACCCATTCTTCAAATGTAAACTGTAGATAGAGTATAATTATATTTGGGTTGTCTTTTCATCCATAAGCTTGCCCTATTAAAATAAACTATAATGATGAATTAGTGAAGTATCTCAGCTAAAGAAAGGTAGAAGTGTGGGATTTTGAGCCTAATTCCACGTCTTTCACTTATATTTTATTCTCAAACAAAAGGAAGGAATTTTTTTCTCTTTTTTTTTTTCAAATTTGTGAAAATACTTCAAGACCTTATTTGAGTAATGAAAAACATAAGTGATCTTCTATCTCCTAAGGAACCAGGGTATTTTCCTACCGAAATGCAGCAATTGGATCTCCTCTTTTTTAACAAAGCAGTATTTTTCTGAAGGCCCAGATATGGACACTCACTCCATTGTGCAAAGGTCTCATCCGGTTTGCTTTACAGCCATGTGATGAAATTCAATGCAACACTCTATTCCTTTGGCTCTAAAATACAACAAGATTCACCTTTCCCTGGGAAGCAAGTAAAGGAATGCATGTGGAGCGTGCTGTCTTTTGACATGGTGTGCCTAGAGCTCTTCTCTGGCTTTAGGAATGGAGGAAATTCATTGACACACCCCATGTCTACACTTACTGGCCATACTCTGATAGCTATTTACCCAAAGAACAATGCCTTCATTCCCACACCTCAGTCCGTGATCTCACAAGCTAATCAGAGCCAGCTATGGTCAGTAGTCAGATGGATGAACTCCAGAAAAAATAGCTCAGGCTGCCATAAGTCATCTCAGTGATTTGTTGGTAATACTGGACTCTCAATGAGTAAGGAATCAGTGCCCTGGAGTGGTGCAAAGAATCTCCTCTTTAATTAAGCCTCTTAAGGACTTCTAAAACAGAAATTTGATTCCATATTTCATAACCACTGTGTGGATATAAAAATTATCAGCATTATCTCTCCAAATAAAAATCAAAGCAAAAGTATTTAGATTTCTAGACTATACACAAAGTACCACACTAGACATTTAGCACAGCACATGGCACCTAGTAGACACACATTCAATATTTGTTGAATAAATGAATGCATGAAAGAACAGAGGGTTCTCAGAATTAGCAGTTGGAAATAGCTGAAATGAGACTTTAAGACTTTGAGTTATGACAAATGGAAATACTCTGGCAGGTACCAGTGTACTGAGGATTTTAATAAACCAGTGTGGAGAGCAGTGTGATATCACAATATTAGCTACATTCCAATCCACTTATTCTCCCCTGCTTGCATTCTGGTGCAGTCAATGAGAAGTACATCCAGGAAAGTTATAATGCAATTTGGCCTACAACTGGTAACTAAATATGAAAATTGCATTGAATATAAATGTTGGAAGAAAACTGAACTGGTGGGTGACCTGCTGGGCTGGATAGTATTGGAATCATTTGGCTGATGATGCTAATCAGTCACCATTTTTGTTTTGAAATGGAAGCCCAGTAATCAAATAAGTTTAGTAAAATTCTTTGTGTTTACAGATCTCTAGTCAAAATGATTCTACATTTTCCTATTTAAGCATCCCAGTGGAAGTCATGTTTTGCCTTTCTAATTAAATATTTGCTTACATGTGTGTGACACAATGTTGTTGAATGAAGCAAAAAGCACACTTCTACTTTTTATGGGAATTAGAAAAGAACTCAAGGTTTTTTCTCTATTGTGAAACCCCAAGAAAAATATATTTGGCTCATGATGTATCTGTTACCTGTATTAGTTGGATTATCAAACTCTGAAAATCTTACCACATATGTAGAAAAGAAATGAGTCCACAGAATGAGAACAACACTGGCTTAGATGCAGAATTCTGGTTAAGCTATTTACCAGCATTTTTACATTAGGACTGCTACTTAACAATTCTTGGTTTTCTAACCTGCAAAATAAGGAAACTATACCTGCCGCCCACATTACAAGACTGAGAAAAATGATCAGGTGTGTTAGGATGGCAAAATCATGCAGTGTAAAAGTATGGACTTGGCATGTGAGAGGCCTTAGTTTGAGCTTTTGGCACCACCTCTGTGATTTTCAGCAAGTAACACAACCTTAGTTTCCCCATCTGTCAAATGGGAATAATGATAATACCTGTCTCTCACACTTGTTAAGAGGATTAAATGACTTGATAAAAGTGGCAGGCATCTATTGTAATGGCATTTACTGTGTTCCAGGTACCTGGTAACCCACATGAATGTGCTCTCCAGGCTGTGAGGGTGTGAGGTGGAGGTAGAGGCACAATTGGTGACTTTTTCATTCCCAACCTTTGCTTTCATATGGCCTTGCTTCTATAGCCACAGACTTAAGGAGTAGAGAATTCTTACCAAAGATGTTAACTCTGAGGGATAGGGAAGAGGCCATTTTACAGGATCTCCTGCTCTCGAGAGGAAAGCCCCTAGGGTAAGGAAGATCCCTGGAGGAGCTCTCTATCCCAGAGGCTGGGTTTCATTATGCCTCAGAGGAAGTTGACCTTTTTGTCTTGCATGATGCACTTCTGGTGGACTTTGTCACAAGGGTCCAGGGCCCTGGGAAAAGGAAAGGACAGCCAGAAGGAATGAAAAGAAAGAGGCTAGTTATTCATGCCCTTTGTCTCCCTCAAATCAGCCTCCACCTTTTTAAATGTCATTGCTTTCAGCTAACAAGGAAATGACCTGTCATTTTATTATTTGAACTATTTTATTATTATCAACACAATTGTCATTATTAGTAGTAGCTAATATGTAGTGAATCCTTACATAGGACAAAAACCCATTGACTTTGTTATCATCACAGCAATCCTATGAGGAAAATTCTCTTATTATTCTTATTTAACAGATGAGTAAAGTGAGGATAAATCAGAGTGGATACAATCCTCACCCAAGGGATGAACACTGGGTGTTGTACTATATGTTGGCAAATCGAACTCCAATAAAAAAAATATACAAAAAAAAAAAAAATCCTTGCCCAAGCTAGCAAGTGGGATCACTGAGACTCAAACCTGGGGCTCTCTGGCTCCAACTCGCTATTTCAAACTCTTGTGCTACTCTCTGATTTACTTAATGACTCACAGCTAGAGTTCAAACTCAACTAGTCACTTGAGTTCAAAATCTACCCTCTGGCTGCCTTCCTTAGAGCAGGAGAGCAGAGCCTATGCCGTATGCTCTGTACTTCCAGAGTCTTTCCAACAGAAATGAACTTCTGCTCAACTTGTCCTCAAGTCTATTTTGAAAACCAAAATAAATAATTTGTGTTGATAGTCAATGTGCCAGAACACAAACAAAAAATCCCGTTTTGTAGAGCAAAGAGTGAACTTTAACCTCCTGAGAATTTTTGTTTTTCCTATATGAAATGTTTTTTCATTATTTTAAGATACATTCTCATATGTTTTTATATGTAACAAAAAAAGTTTCCTTAAGCTTAATAAAATTTATTGTAATTAATCTTAAGTGTAAAGATGAAGTTGAGTGTAGGATTGTAGTTGAGTTTTTAAGACATTTATTAGCAAAAACTATAGGATTTACTATATAAACAAGCTCATTTAAATGTATCATGTTAATTACATAGCTATAAATACAAGTTGGATGAAAAACCTTGATTGGATTCCTTCTACTCTGTTCTGCTGATACAACCTTAATTGCAGGTGATAAGAAAACACTTTTAGTTAGAAAACACATCAGACTACATGACCACTCCAGCAACCTGCTCCAGTGAAAAATCAAACAAATGTCACATCAGTGCTTGCCTCATGAAAAAAAAAACAATTAAATACTGAGCATTTTCCCCTCTTTACTATTCAGTAAAAATTTAATGAGAAGAGGTATCCTTTGTACTGTACCTCCAAAAGAAAGCAATCATTCATCTTTTCATTAAAACCCACGTGAATTAAAAAAAAAACCCACGTGAATTGTTGTTAGTGTATTATAACGAATTATAAACTTCAAGGCAAACTAAAGTGAGCTATGTAGCGTGTTCCAAAAGTAGCAATAGGAGTCCAGGAATCAGGGATCCCTGGGTGGCGCAGCGGTTTGGCGCCTGCTTTTGGCCCAGGGCGCGATCCTGGAGACCCGGGATCGAATCCCACATCGGGCTTCCGGTGCATGGAGCCTGCTTCTCCCTCTGCCTGTGTCTCTGCCTCTCTCTCTCTCTCTCTGTGACTATCATAAATAAATAAAAAATTAAAAAAAAAAGGAGTCCAGGAATCAGGGTATTTCAAGGTTGAGTAATCAATGGGAGGGCTGGGAGGAAGTAAATTAGAAGTAACCCACTACTCCTGGTGCCACTGATTTAGCATTTATCACAAATGATACACACACTGCTTGCACACCCTCTTAAGGAAATCTGCAAACAACAGCTATTTATCCATGCCCAATTTCTAACCTAGTGCCTAATTTCAATGATTGAGGCAGACAATAATTCTAACATTCACTTTAGAAAAACATACTTAGAAAAGTAAATATGCTGGATTCGGGAACCAAATATAAATTCCTTTTGGACTATGCAGTTACAGATTACCAGTTTACCTATATGGCTAATCCCCTCCATTACTTTGGATAATCCAGAATTGGATACAGCTATTTACATGTAGGTAGTGATGATAGGTATTATATGACATTAGTTTCACTAATTCCACCAAAGATGTGTTTTTTTTTTTTTTTTTTTTTTTGCCAACAATCTTCCCTTGAAGGCCTGTATGCATGCAATTTTGTTTACTTTTGGGGCTTCCTAATTTTAAAAGCATGGATCTAGGCATGATTATTCATGTTGGGGGAGAAAAAGTCCCTAATAATTCTGGCTTGAAGGGAAGCTAAGACGGTAATTTACTCTATTTCACGGTCTCAAAGATGATCTCTCTGGCTTTGTTCCTCTCTCCTGCAGCAACCATCCACGATGAGTTATGCAAGACACATCATTAAGACAGAAGGCTTGGGACTCCAGGGCCTCAACAAAGGATTTACAGCAACTTTGGGACGTCACGGGGTTTTCAACATGGTTTATTTTGGCTTCTACTACAATGTCAAAAACATTATTCCTGTCAATAAGGTAACTATATAATAGATTAAAATCCTGGAGGAAAAAAATCTCATCAGTGATTATAGCTCCATCTGTAAAGTGTTCATCGTGTGCTAGTCACTGTACTGCACACATCTAATTTGATCCTCATGTCACTGTTATTCATGGGATATTGTTAGGCCTATTTAGGAATTGGCAACTGAGGCTCAGAAAAATCAAGGAGGTTGTTAAGTAGTTAATAGCAAAGTAGAGACTTGAACCCAATTCTCACACCAAAATTCATCTTCTTGAAATGTGCACCATTATATCTGAATGCTTCCCTTGTATCACCAACAGGGGCTTCTAGAAACCGTATTATTGCTTACTTTTTATCTCAGAAGCATAACTTTCTCAAGAAAGTTGAAATTTTCATATTCTAAATAAATTTTGATCTCTGGGGGAAATTGTCAGCCTAAAATTTAAATTTTACCTAGATAGTAATTTTTAAATTCACGGAAGTTAATTAGGGTAAGCTGTAAAACCAACTCTATGAGGATCATACACTTTTCATGCAAAGTAATAATAATTATAAGTATACTTTTAATGGTAATTTACAAATGCTAGCAGCCTTCAACTTCTACAAGATAAAAGTAGCACACGATGCCCTTTAAACCCAGCATCTTTTCATCTATAACAGCACAATATTTCTCCACCATCATATTGCTTGCTTGCATTGAAAATTGCAGTCCCAGAAGCACCCACTGGGGACACATTTTCCACGTGCAGACAATTTCCCACAGAGGTTCAGTTTTTTATTTTCCTTAGAACAAAACTACTGATGGACTTTTATAAACCATAACAAAATGTCTAATATGGCTATCACCAGACTCTTCAACAAAGTTGATTATACCTACGTTTGCCCAGCGACCCCTTGTATTCCCGGCCAAGTCTTATCTTAAGTAGCAGCTGAATATGAGGGATGTTCCACATTAACCATCTCTTGGTTTTGCCTCATTCAATAGCTAAAGTTGTTAACCATGTTTTACCGTATTTGGAAATCCCAGTTATTGAGTAGAAGCTTATGTTTGTTGGCCTTAAATCTGTGATTGATCACAGTATAGAGATACCCTTCCCCCACTGATTAACAATTCTGACTCCAGTGGTCCTCAGAGCCCTCCTTCTGTCCCAAAATTACAGAAATAGAATGCAACAGACACTTTGGGTTGAGTGACATGAGAGAATTCAACTCTTAATGCATGAGATTCTTTTTAGCAGGAATGGGCTAAACAATTTGTGGTACCTGGGACAAAATGAAAATATAGGAGACTTGTTCAAAAATTTTTAAGAATTTCAAGACCAAATAGTATGACGATAAACTGAGTTCTTCTAAGTGCAGGCTCTGGGTAACTGCCCAAGTCACAAATGCATGACCCTGTCTTTTAAGACTCTGAGATGAGTACTCTGTACAATATGGGAGAAGTGTCCATGCCTCCATCTCTCCAGCTATTTAGACTCGAAACAGATAGAAATCACACACAATGAAATAAATTACATAAATGATCATATATTTTGCTACACATATTTGGGAATGTATTTTTAATTCTGATAGTATTGTAAAATGAATTTGGTTCTATTTACGAAAGAATTCACAAAGATCTATATATAGTCATATGTTAATAATGCTTTAAGAAATCCATGTGTAAACTTCATTCTATAATTAATTAATGCACTTAAGTTATTAAATGTTAGGCATTATGTAAACACAGAAGCTTAAATATTCATTTGTTTTTTTTAAATCATCATGGTATCCTGAAACTATGGAAAACACTCATTTATCTTGCCAGTGTGCAGGGATCAGATCATATTGGCTCTTCTAAGCCACACTAAGGATCCTTACCTTTATCTGAAGGAAGCCAACAAAAGATTTTAAGCAGAGGAATTACCTGATCAGTCTGGCTGCCAAGCAGAGAATGCATGGACTGGAGGTGGTGAGGGAAGGGCAGGGTGTAACATGGAAATGATTTCAAAGTGAGATGCTAGGGCCTCGGACTATGTCGTTCATGGTGGACACAAGGAAAAGTGGACAGATTTGAGAAATCTTCAGAAAGCAAATGTATTGGGTGTGGTGTTGATCTAAGAGGTGGTGGGTAGAGGTGATGCCTACGTTTTTGGCTTGAGCAACTGGAAGGATGATGGTGACATTTACTGAGAAAGAAAACTGCTGAAAGAGAAACAAGTTTATGGGAGAATATCAGGGCTTAGCCTGGAAACTGAATTGAACTGCACTTAGAACTAAAATGCAGATGTTGGGTTGAAGATTGGATATTGGTCCTGGAGCTTTAGGGGAGAGATCTGAGCTAGAGATACACACTTAGAAGTCGTCACAAACCGGGGTGCCTGGGTGGCTCAGTTGGTTAATCATCTGCCATTGGCTCAGGTCATGATCCCAGGATCCTGGGATAGAGCCCTGCATCGGGCTCCCTGCCTATCAAGGAATCTGCTTCTCCCTCTGCTGCTCTCCCTCCTCCTCTTCCCTCCTCCTCTCTCTCCACTTCTTTATTCCTCCCTCCTCCCTGCTCATGCACTCAAGCTCTGTCTCTCAAATAAATAAATAAAATCTTAAAAAAAAAAAAGTCATCATTAACCTGGGTGAATGTCTGTTTATTGGGTGAAAGATCTTGAGCCAGTCACTTCAATGCTCTGAACTTCAGCTTTTTTTTCTTGTATATTGAGAAGCTACCCAACAACACTGAGGATTAGCATTAATAATATGTGAAGTTGTTTGTGAATTTTAAGGTGCCATGGAAGTGTTAGGTGTGGTGGTGCTGATGACAGCGATAGGGGAAGGCGAGAGGTGGTGAGGCGGGTGGTAGGAACAGCAGGCACATAGAACAGCACGAAGAATTTTTTCCCCAGGACTGTTCCTTTTGCACTTAAATGAACACTGTTTTTTCTTGCCTAGAACAAAGTCATTGATTTTATGTGTTCTGTAATCTAAGCCTGATTCAAGACTGGGAAACCAGTATTCTTTAAATTTAAACCATAATAAATCAATCCTTTGTGAAGGGGAAGGTATGATAATCATTAAAACATGTTGAAGAACGTCATCAAGTTGTTAACCATGAGGAGGAGGAGGTGTTCCTTGAAGGCTTTATTCCATCTTTGCTGTGGGCTCTCCAGCCCTACACTTTGGACAATTTGTTTACAGGATTATTATTTCAGTTCCCTTACCCACCAATTGGTCATTCCATTGTTCCGAGGGAATTTGAGAATTCCCCAATCCTGACTGGCATGAAATAATTTTAGATTTTTCTTTAATGTATTTTTAAACCCATAAATGGCCTTGCAATGTTTTCCATGTTCAAAGTACTTTATTTTAAAAGAAACTTCACAATGATTATCTCTGGGGAATGGAAATGAGGTCTCGTGTGTGTGTGTGTGTGTGTGTGTGTGTGTGTGCACGTGTGTGTAAGAGAGAAAGAGGGTGAGAGAGAAACAAAGCAAGCAGCAGTGAAGGGAAAGTCCTTTTCTTTTATACCATTCTGAGCTGTTGGAAAGTTCTGCAATAAGCATGTATAAATTTTATAATAGGAAATAAATCAGTGAAAAGTTTAATAGAGTCTCATAAAATAGAATACCTAGTTAACTTTTTCACATTTTATACAACTCTGAGGCCGTCTGTAGAGGTAAAATAAGAACTTTAACATTAAGCCTAGAGAACTTAGGTCAGACATCCACCCCTGAAGTTTTTAACTCTTCAGATTGGTGATCTCTATTAGATACATTTTGCAAGTAATCACAGAAACATCCTGACCTTCTGTGCCATTTCATACTGTTGAAACCATTTTTGTAGACTCCCTGATTTTACCTGATCCTCGTAACGATAACTGTCCTTTTCAGATAAGAAAACCAAATGGGAAGTTACGGCCCAGCGCTGAAAGTTACTGAAATAATTTATCTGAGGTTATACGGCAAGGGGGAGGAAGAGAACCAGAGGCCAGAACTCTTTCCACTATACCACACAATGCTTTAACTCTACATTTTACCTTGTATTTTGTCACACGTAAATTACCACTTAAAGGATTAATGAAATTTAAATATGTGAAATAGCTAGGATATCCAGATAATATAACCAAATTCCTTTTCTGTCTCCTTCAGCCCTGTAAGCTGGTCCTCTACAGATCCCTAGTCTATAATCTACAGAAACAAAGAATTATAAGTCATGGCCCTGGAGGAACTGGATATTAGCAGTTTGAAAATGGTGCCCTGAGTTATATTCTTTCAGATTTATTTTTAGGATCTGGCTATTCCTATGGTGAATAAGTGGCTACAATAGAGCAAAGACTGCTTTGGATATTAACTGACCATGGAATCCATTTAATGGAAGCATTCATTTACATCTTGCAGTAAATGGAATGGAATGTCAGTATAAAGAATTATCCCTTCTCCCCAGAAAGAGGCATCACTTCTCAAAGTAGAGCCCACTGGAAGCAGGTATTGATTAACTTAAATGCTGACATCTTTTTCAGATATCCATGGGAGTAAGTTTTTGTTGCAAAAACAATTTCTTTCATTCCCATTACAAGGTGGGGATGTTCGAAGCATATTATTTGTGATTGTTGACACAGAAATGAGAATCATAAGATTGAAATGTTACATCTCTTTAATGACTTTGCCCCCTAGTTCCATACTGACTGCTTTTCAAATGTTTCCATAAGTAAAATAATAATAATAGGAATCACTGCCTAAAGCTCATGGCTGTCAACAGTATTAAACTGTGCTTTCAGTTTGTATCCTAATTATGCATGTTTGCAAGTTATTTTGCCAAAAACAATAGACCTTTTGTGTTGAATTTTGCCATGATATAAATTACATGTGTGGGTTAGAAATATTCGAGGAGAGAACAATTTTTCATATGTTCAATTTTTCTTACTTAATAAACCATTTAGACCTGTCCCTATGGTCATTTTACTACAGACAGCATTAAGTCAAATATATTTTATTTTCTCCTAAGGTAATATTTATAAAAGTTTGCCTTTTAGAAATGCAAA